GAAACGGTCTACGGTACCATGAGGCGGATCCGGATCTAAGGCCCATGCAGGATTAGCTGATTGAAAAAGATATCGCAAAGTGAACTGCAGTTTAAATGACGCTTGCCTAATAGGCACACCTTTTGAGGAGTGGAATGTAAACAAGTTAGAAGTTGTGATAAGGTGGGAGTGGGATAAGAGGGTAAGGAGTAGATAAATGAGTCAGGACAGAAAGGCGAATGATAGCACAACAGTTTCGGCGGAAAGTTGCTCAAGGGATTGACTTCACTTGTTTCCTTGGCGAGTTGTAGTTTAGTGCTGATAATGGCAAGATTCACTGATGATGTCGACGAATGCAGACGAAACTTCTGAGAATATACCAAATTCACTGTCTGACGCTTGGAATTCTGATAACTGCTATGACAGATAACTCCGGACAAAGTGCGTTCAATAAAGTCACCCTATCAACAAGACTAAGTTGCGAAAACTAGGTCAACTCACATCTAAACTGCTTTTATTTGCAAATATCAGATATCACCCGAAACTCCAACTCAAATTGATCTCCACATTCAACTGAGAGCAAGTGCACTATCCCAGCAAGTATGATGTCTCGCACAAGGATATCATGTAAACCCCACACCCGCAGTCTCAGTGGGCAAGTTTGTTTTATACCCTCAGTCGGTAAATCACTTGCTCAACCCCTGAAAAATTAAGTTTAACCGACCACCACTAATAAGAAGTCGACCTTAGCACCTAATATCGAAATTAGTTAAAAAAACATTTAGCTGATTTTATTTTATTCAGGGAACAGGATGCCTGTTAGCTCGTTGCCCTCACCCCGGGCCGACATGCCGCTCATCGTACTCCACCTCAGTGCTTACCTCAAGCTTATGCATTTGCGTCATACCTCAACGAATCGCGCGTGAAGTTCCGAAGTTTTGCTCTACGATGGCAATGAGGGTCATGTTAAAGCATCGGATACCATAGTAAACCACTAAGCCTAGCTTACTGGCGGTCACAATGCGCCACTTTTGCAGGGCCAAACTACACAGCATACCGCCTCACTTTCCATGTTCCCACATTTGAAACTTTCCCTTCTGCGCATCCCCAACGAGCTAGTGTACATATGGACTCTGCCTTATCAATACATTGTCTTGCACAGATTAATCTAAGTGGCTTGTTTATTACAATATTTTACCATCTATTTTGTCCTTCGGTACAAATTTCTTTTTAAAGCAGTCAGGATTCAGATCACAATGTCATTATTTCAGGATAACTACAAGTTAATACAAGTCTCGATACAATGGATAAGATTGGAGACAAACAGACCAATATCAATGATTAAAAAATATATGACAAAAAATATAAATATAAATCAATCTTAAATCAACCTAAACGCATACAAGGTGTAGCAGCCGATATTGCTTACATGGACCAGCATATCGGGTGGCTGGCTTGATGCGACCATTAAAATACCAGACTGGGGTCAAACGTGGAAGAGAGCCTATACAAGTCAAATTGGCAGGTTGCCCGAGTCTTTGCACGACAATGTCCTTTGGAGCTTGGAGTATAGCCAGTTTTCCTGATAGATAAAAAAAAGTAAAAAATAGCATATAGAAGCGAAAAATAGGCTAAAAGAAAATATTTTTAAAAGTTTACGAACGCCTCCGAAATGTTTGAAGAAGAATATGCAAACATTTCGTCCTAACAATTGTGATTTTGAGCAG